ATTGGCTTGCGCGGTAGGATATCTGCGACCGGAAAGAACTTATCGTGTCCCACTGACGTTGGACGAGGGGGAATTGTTCCTAGAAGAATTTGACTGAATGAGCGACAGCAGTACTTGGAGCACAACGAAGACAATTACCAGTATCTCAATTCCTTCCTTGGACCAAGGAACTTCCTGTTCATCCTCGTCGTCCTGGGTCAATGTCCGATGGACCACGCGAGCGAGGAGGTATAACCAGGCTGCTTGAAGGTATTTCTTCCGCTCCAATAGCCTCCAAAGCTGTTCCGGGGTGTCGAGAAGCAGCTTGAGATGCGCAGCAAGCGAATGAAGCGTGACAAGTTGGGAATCTTTGTAATCGAAGAGCATCAGTGCACAGCCCATTCAGATGAATATGTTCTTACCTTGCAGAGCCGGTCGCCCTCGAGAGCCCGGGAATGCTGCCATACTTTGCACTCTTTTATGCCCTGACTTGAGGGACCGGACTTCTTTCGCTGTGTTGCACGAATCTTTTATATCTTCCAAGGTTGATTGAACCTTTTGCGAGGTTTCAGAGATGGAGATGATAGCAGAAGAGGCCTGGAGTAAATCTCGATAGCGTTCGCTGTGCTTTCAAGGAAGGTCCAGATGAGCAGAGTGCCAATGACCAGAAGGCCCAGCATTTGATCGACGCACCCAACCATCAGCCGCAATTCCTCTTGCTTAGAGTCCGCATCTGTTCTACCAAGGTGAAATAGCCCCACGTTCAATATCCCTACGTGTATAGCGAGTCGCGGGTAACGGGTCGTCCCACCTAAGCCGTTTCTGCAATGCCTTCACCTCAGCCACGGTGAACCTCGCGAACATCTGGTCGGGCTCCAATCTGCTGAGATCCTCCTCCCCCGGTGGCTGCTTCGCGGAAGTCGGGCCACTGGGTACCGCGAATTTCGAGCCGGCATTCGGTGTCTTGGGCCCTATAGGCTGCTGCTGCTGTTGCTGGTGCTGGAGTCCACCTTTTCGCGTCACTTTTGGAGAAGTCACCGTGCTGCTGCCCGACGTAGATACTGGAATGCTTGCTACGGAAGGTCTGTGCTGCTTTTTGACGGTGGCCATAATTATGGTTTAGGCCGATGAGATTAGAAGTAAGGGGCAAGGCTCGCCAGTCGGCGTCGTAATGCGCGGTCGCGGGCTTGGGGAGAGTTTACCCACGGGCGCCAGTTGAGAGTTGTTTGTCTTCTCCTCGGATTTCCCTGCTGCCACCACCGGCCCATACGGTCCACTTGAGGACCGTATGGGCTATGATGTAAGTCTTCAGAATTCGAGGTTCGAGATCTTCTTTAATGATAGACTTCATCCCGCAGTGCCATCAAGCCTCTCACGTAGGCATGCATGGCTGGCGTTCGGAGTTGGGGGGAAGTGGTGTACGACATTGAAAGGCCTACTCAAACTCATACTTTCCCCATTCCCGCAAGTTCCCGGACCCCTTGTCCCCTTCGGACTTCGATATAGATCCCAGCCCACCATTCAGAGCACGAGCGTAGCGTCATCGCCCACCACATTTCTGCCCATCGTTCCACACCTGCCTCATGCGGCCCCCGAGGAACGTATATCGAAGAACCTCCTTCCCGTCGGGGCTCATCGAACGCTCCTGATTGAACAATTGAATTTCGTTATCGCTGAGCATTCTTGCTCGATTTGGGTCGTATAGCTCTCAGCTGACCTCGAAAACAGCTTCGTTGGCCAAGCTACCCTAGCCTTGAGGATTAAGTAGGTAGGTAAGAATCGCGAACAAGTCGATTGGCCTTGACCATGATTAACAGCTCTGCCCCCCAAAGATGTATTTTGATCGATCGGTGCCTGGAATGCGGGCTTCCTTCCGAACGGTTCGGGGTTGGTGGTGTTCACTCCTCCAATCACCGACCCCAAATAGCAAGTGTGTTTGAACGAGTTGCGCTAACGAGTAATGCCACACGTGGAAAATCACTTGTGTATTGGCGTGTCCCCAATCCCGCGATCCCCACCGGGTCCGGAAATCCACAATGAGGGACGGGAAGAAGACGCCATGCCCATTACAAGACAAAGTCAAATTCTATATGCAGTGCAGCATCGCAATATCAAAGGCAAGATAGTGAGAGGGACAGCAAGTACATAATACAGCAAAATGGTGATAGCGGGGCTGCATCGAACGAATATACAGCAGGAACTAGTCGCATTCCACCGGGGTTAAGCGAGCGCTCATGATGGAAGGACTTGCGTTTTTAATTTTTAGTTTAGGGTAATTAATGGCTTTTTGAAGCTCTGTAGTCTGGGGGAACAGCTTCGATGGTCACAATCAACGCTGACCTCAAGTAGAGCTTGGAGAAGAGGTGTCCGCATCCTTTGCATCTAATCAGAGCCCGCCACGTCAGTAACGCGTTTCCGACACTAATTAGCGGTGGCCTCGAATGGTTAGATATACCTCAAGTGCTCGGGGTCGTCGTAGAACTGGGTATAAGAGCACCTAAAATGAACGGCATACATGGTTGAGTACGCTTTGCCATCACCGCCCAAGGAAGGCAACACTCACCCTTGATCCATGACACAGAAGGCCTGTTGCCACAAATCAACGCAGCGGAATTCCAGCTCGCCCGGCGGCGATCGACCTCGGGGTCTGTCACGAACGCCCAAGGCATCATTATCAGCGAGCAGTACCTCCACCAACCAGAGCAGGAAAAAGCACTCGCGGTATGTTCTTAATAATGGCGTACAATGGCGTACGATCGCGCGCCATCCCTCTTTGCGTAACGTAGATGAACTCCTCGGTTTCAACTCGCGAAGCGATGGTGGTCATATTGGAGGGAAGGACAGGTTGAGGGGCGAGCGAGAGGGGAGCCAGGTTGTGAAACGATGAGAGATTCGCCGGGTCTTTATACGGGGGGGACTAGTAGCGTTTCGGGTTGTTTGGGCTGTCAGTTAGGGAAGAAAAAGGACTGGCTCTCGCGAGGATGGCGGAATGGTTCGCAGAATCAGCGAGGCCTTGCGCGCGTCCTTTTTTGTTGTGTGTGGGAGGGAAGTGTATAGGGGACTTGTACAGGGAAGCGTCAGGGAGGGATTCTTGTGGAATAGTCGACCAAGAGTCAACCTTGTTCTCTTTATACCCTTTTCCCCTGCGTTGTTACCTGAGAGTGACCGGCGCGGGCTTCGAATTTCAGGAGCGCGAAAAAAAGAGGCGGACTACGCCGCTCGCCTCGTGACTACCTATCCGGCTCAGGGTGACTGGCAAAGTCCGCAAAGTACTGCATTATGTATTCCTCGATGGAAGCCCCAGAACGACTCTAAGGGTCGCGCTAAACACCCTCTTTCTTTTTTCTCTTGTGCGATTCCTTCGGCCGGCAACTGCAAGCCCACAGCTGCCGGCCGACCTTCTGCTCGTTCGGACCTTCATCAGCTGGGGGGGCATATGGCTTCAACCTACCATCGGTAAGGCCAGCTAGCAGCCAGATGGTCCGCGTATTAAGGTCCTGTGGGTCAGCCGCGCGCATCAACAAGCTGTCGAGGTAAAATTTGTTACTGGGTCGTGGAGGGGTGCGGGGCCTTGTCGAGCGCTATGCGCGGATCCACCCGGAACTGGTGCCGCACCGACAAACTCCTTGTGTACACAGAAAACTGCGAACAACACCCATTCGTACTGCCTTCAAGGGGTCCCCCCTTCCCTTCCTTCTACATTATGTACATAAGAAAAAGGATTTGATAAAGGATTTTAAAACACCAGAAGTTTTCGAGCCATTCGCCCTGACCCCCTCAAAGGCCTGTGCGAAATTGAAGAATTGACTAATCGTGATCTAAAACGATCGCCCTCTTCCTGGCGTCCTGTGTGCGATGCACACACAACACAGATAGCCCAACCCAAGCGCAGGTTGTCGGACACGTTCCTTCTATATTTCCCGAGTCCGGCTTTTCGGTTCTACAGCACATTTCGCTTTTTTCGGTGCTCCCGAAAGGCCTTAGTTCCACTAAAGTTACCATTGGCACTTTCGGGTATTGCAAGTTTTCCCAAACGGCGCCCCGCTCGAACCTCACCCTCGCGTCTACCTCCGCAGCCTGGCCATCGACAGTCGCGACACAAACCAGCCCGAACTGAGGTCATCCATCAGTCTAATTTACCCATTACATATTCCTTCCAGGCGCGGCTCGCCGTCCGTACGTCACGTTACGTTTTTTCGCATCAAGAGTAAGCGCGACACAAAAGAGGAGCCTCACAATTCGAAGTGCTTCGAACAATATATATACGCGCTGGGGTGCATTCGTCGAACAGCGTAAATCTCTCACAAAGGAGCGGAATGGTAGCCGATGTGAGGCTCGTCAAAGCCGTATTGAGGTAGAAACGTGTTCACAGGGGGTTTACATTAGGCGTGCCGCAAAGGAGTCCCCCAGCTATGACGCACGAGGTGTAGCGTATAGACACCGGACGTGGACGCGTAGACAGGACAAGATTCAAGGCAAAGTCTATCTTGGTTGATCTACTAGTCTGGTATAGTGAACAAAAGCGGCACAGAGTTTAGCGAAACCTATGTCTTGTAAGATTCATTCACCTCCGCTTAATATGGGACAGTTGAGTCATTAAAGTACAAGTTCGGAGATACATTGGCTCCAGAGTCATATTTCTCTCATTAACTGCTCCTGAGAAGGTCCGTTATCTTCTCAAACTCGGAAAGAGGATCGGTGATTTCCGAAGGAGGAAACGTGCCCGCTCGATTGTGACGCCCTCCAAGGGTCTCGGGTCAGCTTGAACTAGTTGTGGTGGCCCAGTAAATCCCCGACTCTGTCGGCGGTGATAGAAGCATCTGTAATGATCTGACTGCGTCTTTTTGCCATCGCGACCGTGATCACGAGTTCAAATAATGGGGTTCCATCTTAATGGAAGGAACGGAGAAACCGGCAGACGGGGAGCAGACGGCGTGAGAATGACGCCACGAACGTGACCTCTTGGAACAGAAGCAAACTTCCAATGCAAAAGTCTATTCGACTCGGAGGTTACAAAAGAATACGCCAACCGGGAGTCGAACCCGGATCGAGACCTTGGGAAGGACCCATCATAACCGCTAGACCATTGACGTGACTTAAGGCCATGACCCGTTTGTAAGTATATTATTTGACAGAGGTGTAGCTGATTAGGGCCGCCATCGACGTTCTATCTAACTTGTGCATCTGACCACTGTTAGACATGCCCATGCAACACAAATTCTATTAAGGGTCGCGCAGGCACTCCAAGACAAGATACACCCCCCAACGCAAAGCGACAGGCTGCAGAGCCAACCGACCCGCTAAGGAAAAAGGAACCCAAAGCGTGCTAGCACGGGACAAGTGCAGCACCCGTTATCCAA